CCCTAACCGGGCATCCTGAAATGCACTATTCTCAATCCTTGGGTGACAACCTCAAATTGGATTCCTGCTTAATCCAATGGAATATGTTTGATGATGTGGAGACCCAATTCAAGGAGAACCAATCCAAAACGTTGACTGATTAACCCTCGAAACCTTGATTTCAGCTGTATGGAACCCTGATTCCTGTATCTTAACAAAGACAAGCTTGAAACAGGTTAAGGTTAGATAATCAAATGAGTATGATCCTAAAATGATGATGAAGATCTAAGGGGTCAAAAATTGGGGTATGGCACCATGCATCCTATTCAGAAGACATTTTACACGTTTATTGTTTTAGAGATGCATCTCCATTTATTTTACGGAGATACATCTTTGTAACCTATCAGAACAATGCATGTTATATTTTATTCAGATGAATATTTCTAAACATTATGTACCATGTTATGTGACGAGATTTAAACCATGCAATCGATATGCAAAAAATGACGTATATAAATCCAAATGATCTAAAACTGACATATAATAAAGTCGAAATACACGATAAAGTAGCATGAAGTAAAAATAAAATAAAATTCATAATGAATCCAAACTACAACTACTATATACTACTGCACTACTATGTATGTCAAACTACATCTGCTCTGCCTCGTTGGACTACATCTGCTCTGCCTCTTATGGCACCTCTGGCTATTCGGGATCCTCGACCTTCAATACCCATGTCCTTCGACGTTGTCTCCAGTACATCAATGCCCCTCGTGCCTCCGTTATGATGGCATCTATGACCTACCTTATATAAGACCCATCTGGGAAGATACCTCTGTCAATGCTTGTATGCGCAATCTCCACTATGCAATGACATCTAGGCAAGACATCCTCAACATGATCTAACTGTGCCTGCTCCTTCTCTAGTATCTCCTGATAAGTCAGCCTTGGTGAATCTCATTATGTAGCATGCACCATATACGGAAGTGACACCCTGAAGAACCACCTGATGTACCCATTGACGTAGCTCTAGTCGCTCTAAACTATGGTACTCTGTGCCTCTTCCGGTACCATATGACTCTCATAATCATCAAACATAATATTCATCTGTCTACGTATTAAAGCAGGAAGAGAAAAGACAACAGGGTGTCTGAGAATGATCTGAGTGTAGCTAAACTGTTGCATCACGCACTCGGGCAACTGATAAGTAGTGAAACATGATTTGCAAGCCAACCATCCCGAGTATAACATTATCTCGTCAACTGGCTGCGTCTCAGAGTGATTGACATAGCTATTGAAGTGCATGTCCTCAGCAACTAAGGAGTCAAAATACATTCTAAAGTAGGGCAAATGCAGTAGCACACGACATATCCTCAGTGTTAGTCGATACACTTGTTTAGCTGGAGATGCGCGGGAAGTGCTAGAGGACCCAAACCTAAAATGTTTGGAACACACAAATCACCAGTAAGGGCGTCACAAAGATGCAATGAAAATGACACAAAGATTAAAAGACCAATAAATATTATCGTCAGTAGTGTGATGTTGCATGTGACCTGCTTCGTCTTCCACTTACATCCCTCTGATAACTTCGAGTGCAAGTAAGCCAAACAAGTGCCCCCTCTCCCTAAGTTGTACTCATGGATCCGCTCGAAGTCCTCGAAGCACCGTAGGTAGACGAGATATGTATAAGTGGTATTTTGTCCACAAAAATCGCAGTGTCAACCAAATATAGCAGGTATGCTCTCATAACATATGCTCTATGGAGCCCTACCTACTCGTCATCCCCTTTAGCCTGTTGTTCTCTAAGGAGCTCATATGTATATACCTTTTTTAGAAATTCAAACCTAGCATGAGCCCTTCTGGTTCTCTCCAGCTCTGATATCGCAGCCTCTAGGTCAACTCCCAGATAATCTACCATCAACTCGAGTGCCTCGTCTTTGCTAATCCTCTCATGATTTAGAAGTTTTCCCCTAAACAGAAGATGTAGCAAACACGACACATCGTCGACTGTGATAGATATCTCACCAAGCAGGAGATGAAATAACGAGGTCTCGATGTGTCATCTCTCCATGAACGCATTAAGCATCCTTTGGGTTGACCGTAATATAATCGATCATGCACAAGTCCTTCATCCGAGATTGGGACAAAGCTGTCTGAAATCACTTCTCATTCGGCTGAGGCAAGCTAGCAATCTTTCGCCCATGGTTAATAATCTTCAGTGGATCACGATCCTGTAGAAAAATAAATCAATGTTAGAAACAATTAAATTAAAATAAACGTAAATTAACAAAATTGTAATATATTATTAACGTAAATTAAAAAGAATGAATCCAACTAATGTTACCTCTTCGTCTTAGAAATGTCTAACAGTATGGTATGGGTACATAAGGAGTAGTGAAAACTCTATAGAACCTCCTCCAAATGGCTCTGGCTCAGCATCCTCAGCAACCTCACCATCCGGAGGTGGGAATGGCTCACCAGTATAAGTAGTAAAAGGTGGCACTGACTTAGAAGCATCATCTGTCGGTGGTGGTACTGGTGCCTCCGGTACCACCGGTGACTCGGTTGCATCTCCAGAAGTTTCTGCAACACCTCAGGTGCGTCAATGGCGGCAATGCATATATGCAAACACAAGATATAATGGTTTGATCATCATTTTCAGCCAACAAACATGTTCTAAACTATGTCTAAAGTATCATTCATGCAATTTCTACTCATTTTTTTACCTTAATCATCAATTTCTACTAATTTAAACAAAAACTTTAAAACTTTTCAAAACATCAAAAAACTTATAAGTTTAGAGTTTACCTCACACTTTCATGATGTCTCTGATGCACTTGATGTTGATTGAAGAATCTCTAAGTTTTGTTGTTTGATTTGGGAGTTGATTGATGGAAAACACTTTGATCGAGTTTAAGCAAATTGTTTTTTTTTTTTTAAATGAGAAAAGAGAAGGGTCCTGACACGATTTAAATTCTAATACTTTTCGAAAATCCATCTCCAAAATAAATTTAAAAATATATTTTCAAAATATTTTAACATTAAATTAGACTTAAATACGTCCGAAGGTACAACTCCAAAATCTAATTTAGTATTTTCATGTGGTGTTACCTACGTAATATGTAATATATAAGTTGTATTAAAAAATTCCCTTTAATTTTGTTTACAAATTTGCTTGTGCAACACATCTTGCCTTACTATGGTTGAACCACTCAAGATGCTTTTAAAAGTTTTTAAAAATTCAATCTCCGTAATACATGGAATTGTGTATAGTTTTTTTTTTAAGGATTAGTGTATAGTTGGATTAAAGAAGTTGTTGAAGGATTAGGTGGAGGTTGTTATTAACTGAAGCTGAAAATAGGTGTGGAGTCAGGAATGTCAGTATAGAAACGATTTTCATCATCTTAAACGAAAGAAATTAAACTTGTGTATTTTTCCTAATTGGAATGGTAGTGAACATTACCTATTTTTTATCTTTGACAATGACAATCCAGAACAACGGTAATTAACTAAGTGAAAATGTTAAAATTCAAGTTATTAGGCAGGCAATTCAAGTTATTAGGGGGGCAAACTTTGCTTTGTTAATTGTTTGGCAATTTCAGCACAGACCAGGATGCCACTCTGAATTCAATATTATTTTTACTAATGCTGTTTCTAATATTCTCTTCTCTTCTTTAGATAAATTAACGTGGAACCTACTGAATCATTCAAACATGCTTCGTATTTGGTACTAAAAAATGCTTATTTTGGCAATAAAACATGTGTTAAAAATGTAAATAATTTAAAAAGTGCATTTTTCCTGCTTTAAAGAATAGTGCTAGCTAATCATTATCTAAAGTTCTACAACAAACATCACCCTTTGATCACTTGCTACTTATGACAGCATGTAGCTTTACTGTTTCCCTTTGATTTACAAAGGTTGAAGCATTACTTAATAGCTCTGATCATTCTATACTCCCTTCATAATCTTGCTAACATATGTCTATAGACTAGCATAACAACTATTGTCAACAACTATCAAACATATTTTTCACTTTTTTCCTTCAAAATACAGATAATACCACCAATCTAGAATCACTAGTAGCAATTATTATTTGGTCTAGATGAGAAAATAGATCATGTCATGCTTTTTCCTTGTATCAGCTGATGGGTTTTGGGTTTTGAATAAATCTAACACTATACAGTGCAACTTTTACCTGCAATCTTATTTGATAAGGTAATACAAAAATTGCCCGAGAAAATAAAAGCTTAATGAAAAGGGAAGGAAAATGGCAAAAGAAAGGATAAAAGAGGAGATAGCACCAAGTGCTTGCCATTTATTTCCTGCCTAAAAGATTAGGCCAACTAGTAAAGTACATGGAGACTCGTTCAAATTACTTCAGAAAACTGTCAGGACAGTTAAACAGCGAAGTGCCGGTTAGATTTTGTATGCACAAAAACTAAACTCAATGGTCTCTCCATGGCATACCATGTCCATATGTATGAACAGAAGTTAATGACAAAAGGTTCTTTTGTGCTATACATGGTAGAAATGAGAACTGGTACAAAGACCTGTTAGTCTGTGCCCAATGCAGAAATGAGTACAAGGATTGAGAAATATTATTAAATAGATGTCATTTAGTATAGAAAAATTTATGAAAAGCTCTTGAGAAAAAAATCACATCAATAAAGTATTGTACAACAATGACCAGAATGGATCATATACTAATCAATCATGCTTCAATCTCCATTAATTAATTTCAATTCTAACAGAAAAATAGAGAAAATAAAGAGAGATAAAAAAAAAAGCTACTTGAAGATGCTTGTTTCACTTTATTTTGGAGAAATATTTTTGTTTAAAAAAAATCTCAAAAACCAGTGAAATGAAGTACTTTTTTCAATATAAGCTAATCCACTTACACCCTCAATCAAATAAATAATTGAATATAAAAACAAAAAATCAATACCTTTGGGTCTCACTCATGTCAATCTATGAACAACCCAAAAAATAGGGTGGTGACATGTTAGTAAAATTTGCATCAAAAAGCGTTGTTGGTTTTATTAACAGAAATGGAGGGACCATCAGGCATCAGAACATGAGAAACCCCCCTGTGGCCAATGTCCAGCCCCTGAAACTGGCCGATAGAATCACTTGACAGCAATTCTGACAAATCATATGAAGTGGGTAGATCAAACTGAGGCTGGTGAGGAGAGGATATGTTAGATGAGAGTGAATGATGAAACTGCTGCATTTGCATGGCCCGAAGTTCGTTCTGACCATGTTGTGGCTGGTGCAGGAAGGGTGAAGCTTGAGAATATGAAAGTTGATGCATTCCCAAACCATATGTATCAGCATGGGTTGTTACCTCTCCAGTAGCAACCTTCAGCCTATCAACTTCATTCTTCAACGCTTCATTTAGAGCTGTACATTTTATTTTATTAGAACATTTTTAAAACTGGAGGTCTGAGTCATGTAAATGAGTTGTATGCAACTGCATATAAACTGAAATTTAAACAAAACAGAAACACTACTTGTAGGTTATTGATCATGTGCAATGATTTGAAAACTGGACTAGTCATCAAAGTAGTGGAGGTTTGATTCATGGTTGATGAGTTTAACTCAGTAGTTGAGGTAGTGATAAATGAAGATGATTTTCAATATTAAATAATATATTAAGTGATAAATTGAAGTTTATAAGATATCAACAACAACAGCAGCAGCCAAGCTTTATTCCACTAAGTGGAGTCAACTACATGGATCAACTTTTGCTATAAAACTCTATCCAAGACCATACTTCTATCCAAATTGTTAATCTCGAGATCTTCCTTAATAACTTCTCTTATAATTTTTCTAGGTCTTCCTCTTCCTCTAGTTGTTTGTCTTATCTCCATCGGATTTACGCTACAATTCAAATCGTTAATCTCAAGATCTTTCTAAATAACTTATCTTATAGTCTTTTTAGGTATTCCTCTTCCTCTAGTTGTTTGACTTCTCTACATCTGATTTACTTCTCTCTACATGCTCAAACCATTTAAGTCTATTTCCCACCATCTTCTCTACTATACTATAGGCGTTATCCTAACACTCTAATATTTTCATTTCTAACCCTATCCTCTCTAGTCTTACCACACCATCAAACGCAACATCCTCATCTCTGCTACACTTCCTTTATTCTTGTGTCATAATTTTTTGATGATTTCATTAATTAGGGCTAAACTAAGTTATTGGGCTTTCATGTTATACTGAAACAAAACAACAACCAAAACCAGCAAAAGAATTAGCATAAAGTAACATATATCGAAGCTTAACATGGATAGCAAAAAAACAAGATGAAAAATGGAAATATTTTTTTGCATATTAGCATGGCTTAGACGTACCATCACATAACTTGGCTTGTTGCTCCATGCCTTGTAACCTAAGCTTCAACTCGGTATTTTCACTAGACAGACCACTTGTATCTCTCTGAAAAAAAAAGTATCAGAATGCATAAGCCTCACAATCACAAAGCATAATGGCTTAAACCACTAATGTAAAGAATTTAACAAACTGGAAACCAAGTTCAATTAAAGGAAATAAGAGCATGCTCCAATGTAATCGGCCAAGAAGATCTAGTTACGCAACAAACGTATATGCAACAAAAAAATACAATAAATTGTTACTATAAATGTATAGTTATGCGCATCATCAACATCACAATTAGCACACTTTTTGTGGTTCGATTATAATTTATAGCCGGTTAAAATTGAAATAACTAAGCCTAACAATAGTTTTGTTCAACGCAGAAAATGATAAGAACCTGAAAAAGATTTAATTGAGCAGAAAGTGTTGTTGCTTCGGTTTGAAGAGTATGAATTTTTCTCTCAAGCTCAACAACATAACACGCTTTCCTCTCTTTCGAACGTGCAGCAGATTGACGATTGGCCAGAATCCTGCATCAAAATTCACGATCTATAAACGACTTCGTTTCAATACGAAAACCAGATCGGAAACTGTATTGATAGAGACAATTGTGCGTTAGGTTATTGAAAGAAGGACCTCTTGGCTCGTTTGGGATCAACGGTCCACAATTGGGCGAGTTTATCAGGGGACATAGCCTTCTTAGATTCGATTCCTTCTGATAACATGGAAGAAGATGTATCGGCGGAGTTGCTACGGCGGTGACCGGGCCTGCCGGTATCTGCATTGGCAGGAGGAGAATTGAGTTTGGATCCGGAATTGTCGGAATCAATGTAGGAAGAAAGGAGATCGTCGTGTGGTTGTGGATCTTGGAAATGGAGCGGAGAGGCGTCGAAATCGAAGGGATCCATTTCAAGGTCGAAGTCGTCGGGGATTCGGAAATGTACCTCCGATTGAGATCGACGGTGGAACGGAGACGACATCGTTGTGTTGTTGTTGTTTGCGATCCGGTTTGAACCCGGTTTTCTTCTTCTCTCCTCCCCGCTCACTCTCACGCCCGCGGTTCTCTTCTCTCCTTTCAATAACGTCACAAACGAACGATTGATTATTAGTATTACTAATGAAGTCTCCCGCAACATAGTAACATGATTATTACTACCATTTTTGTTTCATTATTTCTGCTATTTTTCTTTATCTCTAGATTTAGTTTTATAAGAAAAAAGTTTTAGTTAATTTATTGGTATTTGGTACAAACAAAAAACGTTTTTCCCATAAAAAGGGTTATTTTCTTATATAAGTAAGTTTATCTATATTTATTAGTATGTATAAAATAAATATGTTTTCTTCTTTTAATTATACATTTTATTTATTGTTGTATTTGTGATTTTATTTTGTTTACCATATTAATAAAAATAATAGTGTAATGTTAATAATATTAAGGGGACTAGGATGAACAGTACCCGTTCACATCACATCTTGTTTTGATATTAAGTAGGTTAATTGTCCTCTAGATCATATCTTCCAATTTTAGCTTAATTGCTGTACGAATAAAAAATACACATATGTAATTTCAACCAAGTCCTAGTTTAAATATTATAAATGATATTTTGATATTTATCTTTATACTATATCTTATATACTATCTCTAAATATTGGTACATAATTTAGTTAACAAATAAGAATAATTTGATCAATATAAACTAAGTGTTATGATTAACTATAAAAAAAGGTTTCTATTTCAGATTCATAATTCCTTTCTCTCTCATCAACTCATCGCCTCTCTCACACCAAGTTTTTCTCCTATCAACAAATAAATTCATAACGACGTTCTTCCTTTTTGAACAAACAAATTTGTGGCGCCTTCTTCCTTTCTCAACCCGACATCAACGTTCTTCCTCTCTCAACAAACAAATTTGCAACAATGCTCTTTCTCTCTCAATTTATGAATTTGCATCACATTCTTCCTCTTAATAGAACACAACGTAGTACAGAAAACTCTTATCTCTCAACAAAATTAGATGTTTTTCCATTGTTTTGCGTTCTGTCCGCTTCCCACTAATATTTGGAATTGAAGTGTTGAAGGACACAATGTTAAACTCTGATATATTGCTGACATTTGTTTTAAGTCTTGAAATTTTCTTTTATTTTTAAACTTAATGTGTTTTTTCATTTTAGTTTGTTTTAAGAAATTTTCTTTATTTTTGTACTAATTTTAATTTTCAATTTGGTTTGTTTTGTTATCAGCATGAATTCTTTATTGCTTAAACATAATTTGTTAGATACTAAGAAAGTGTGGAAAAAAAGACTACGATGAATTTGTATATCAATAATATTTTGTTTAGAATTTGAAGTTGGATTGTAGTGTAGAATTTGAAAAAATATGTTGTTGTGCAGAATGTGGCTCAATTTATTGACAATTTATGGGTCTATTTTGTTTATGTGCACACTGACTGTGTGTGAAGGAAACTAATATATGTTATTTATACGTAGAAAAATGTTATCTTGACACCCTTTCTTACACCCCATACATATATCGTATGCACTCTTCACCGTATTTATACGATAAACAGTGTTTTTTTATTAAAATAATATATTTTTTTAAAATATTTTTTTTTTTAAAAAAATATTTATTTTTAAATTTTATTTTATAACACAAATATAAGATTACCCATTAACCAACTTCACAGTTGCATTAACCACAAAAATCTACATTATTAACCAATTATTTTACCTATAATTTATTAACCACTTTCACTAATTCATTAACCAATAAAATACATACCATTAATCATGTTCTGAGCATTTTTTTCATATATTTATAAACAGTAAATTGGGTGTAAGGTGTAAGAAAGGGTGTAGGAATAGCAAACCTGTTATATGTATGTGTATGTAATGTTGATTTTTATGATGTGTGTGTTTGTATTAATCAAATTCTAAGCAATATTAATCAAAATTTTGAACTGCATTAATCAACTTTGATTTACTAATTTTGATTTGCCTTAATGTATGAGTCTATATTAACCAAAATTTAAACATCATTAACCAAGTTTCTACATTGCATTAACCAATTTTATGTGGTTTGATGTCTGAATATATATTTATCAAACTTTAAATGCCATTAACCAACTTCTTACACTACATCAACCAACTTTATCTTTACCAATTTTTCTGTATTTTAATGTCTGAGTGTATTTTAGCCAAATTTTAAATGTCATTAACCAATTTATTACACTACATTAATCAATTTTGTTTTACAAGTTTTCTCTATTTTGATGTATGAATCTATACTAACCAAATTCTAAACCCCATTAGCTAACTTCTTGCACTGAATTAACATTGTTTTATCAAATTTTTTTGACAATGTGATAACAAGAAAAAAGTAAAGAGAGAGAAAAAATTGCATAAAAAAATTTGGTTCCACCGAATATGTATACAAAAAGAGAGAGAATATGGTATGACAATTTTTTTTTAAATTATAAATAAACAGGAGAGATGCGGTGTAATGTATGTTTGTAGTGTCAACATAGCAAATATGTTTAAATATATGTGTGTAAATTGTTCGTCTATTATTTCTCGTCTCTTTCCTCTTTTATAGCTCTCTAATGATGGATAATGTTTATTGTTATGATGACAATTAATATAACTTTATAACAACTTTGACGACTATTGATTACTCTTCATTGCTAGTGTTTCATCAAGGCTATTAACTTATCAACTCTTCAAGTACTTACTATAACTATTATTTATGACCATGGATAAGTCACTGATACCATTCTCATACTTAGTCACATTCTTGTACCGGTCATGAGATCGACTAACCCGCCTTCCACAAGTTTCCTGGTTATCCTGTTCTTTCCTCTAAAAATCATTTTCGGCCTTTGTCTATGTATCTTAGAGCTCGGCCATCACAAATGGATTAATAAAAGCCGGTATAGACATACTGGTACCAATCTCCCAAGTATAAGACTTGTAGAAGTGTAGTGTTTTCACACGAAAACTAGACATATCATAGTCGGTATAAACACACGGTACACAATCCTCCAAGCACGAGGCCTGTAGGGGCGAAGTGTTTTAGCTATATGCCTTCTACTGATTTCAATTGACTTGAGTGGATATTGAAATATGCTTTGTATTCCATTTACTCTAATGCAATGATTACAACTCTTGGAAACACATGCCTTTAAAGACTAGGGTTTCAGACCTTATTGACTAGTGTATGTAATGAAACATATGACCTGTCAGCCATTTATTTTCCTATTTAAATTTTTTTTCACTATTCCTTTCTCTCTTCCTTTATCTTTCACTTTTTCTTCTCCAAAATTCTAGTAAAAAACTCTTTTTGTGTTAACTCTGCCATTTTTTTCTCATGCTCAAGTATTTTCCTTTTAGTGTGTTATCTTTTTTTATTAATCTACGTATGATTTTTATTAGAGGATATGATTCCACTAGCAAGTTGGTTGAATTGAAATCAGTTTTTGAGCAATAAGGTTTATGAACTTGTTGTTTGAAAAACACAGAATGAGGCGATGTTAAAATAGATTAGAAGTTTGTAGAAGAGAACATGTTAGAAAGTTATGAGATTTTATCTAGTGATAATAACAATGTCAGTGGTGCTAATTTAATGTCTTCTTCCTCAGGATCAACAAAGTTTCTCATTTCAATCACCACTTTAGGAATTGCAGCTTTCTGTGACGAAGTGTCAAGTGTTAGTTCACTTTATAAAGACAATAAGTGGATCCAAACTTTTCAGGTTGGATTATATTTTTCCAACACATGCAACGAATTCGACATGATTTTATAATGTTGTTTGGATGGTGAAAAAATATGCATGCTATGGTCAAAATGGGTGGGTAATGAATACTTTTATTTCAATACCAAGGTAATAGCCGACTTTAGGGTCGATATATGATTCATCCTTTTTCAGGAGGAGCTCTTAGAGGTTTTAAAAGTTTCTCCCTCTCAATTTCATGATGTGCCTGTTAAGGACGTTGGTCATCTATTGTGGTGATTAATTGTCATCACCTCTAATTGCTTGCCGATGTAGGAAATGTTAACTTCAAGTATGCTTTCTTTTCTTTCCAACTAGTGTCGTGTCTCGGTTACGCTTTAGGACCTTGTGTATTCGTCGAGATCTAGACAGGTCGGCACATTTCGCCATAAGTTTATCATAGACGTTGTGGTATTTCATCTTTAGAGTGACCATGAAGGCCATGGTGGCGAGCGTCGCAGGAAAGGGTCTGTCCAGAATGCATTTGTAAACGCCTTTGCATGGGACTACCAAGAACTGGAGGTCTACCATCCTAGTGTCTTTCTCTTTTCATAGAGTAAGCATAAACTCTATATTTCCCTAGGGATGGGTCATTGTATTGTTGAATACCTATATATTTTAATCCAAGTTGCTCATAGAGTATTATGTACATGATATCGCATGAGCTTCCTCGTAAATAAGGATTCTTAACACGTCAAAGTTAGTCATAGTTTTCGTTATCACCATAGGAAATTTTTTGATTGAAATACCAGTCACTTTCTCGCTATCCTTGAATTGGAAAATGAGTTTTTCTATTTTCCATTCGAGGACTGTTCCTCCCATTTACTATTTTCCATCAATTTGGAAATCCTTCATTTGATTGTCCCCTTGGATGAGTTCTTTGGTCGGGGAGGCCCCGTGTGATGTACACTATAGATTGACGTTTTCCTCTTCAATTTTCTTCTCCTTCATCACTAGTATCCTTCATTCCTTTGGTCTCAATCGCATATTTGATTGCTTTCTTGGGGGATGCCTTCTCTCGGCGAAGGGGTCGCTTCTTTCTTGGTGATTCATCTCGCCTATTGTATTATTTCTTTCTTCCATGATCATCATTCTGACCATTCTTTTGGATATACTAGATTAGAATTCCCTTTTTAATTAACTTCCCAGTTGTGTATTTCAAGTGCATGCACTCATCCATATTGTGTCTTGGCACTTGTGAAAATGATAGAACCT